GGCGGTGTTCCGTGTCCCCTGCTCGGCCCGGGCAGCGCCCCCCGCCCGCTGCTCCCCAGGAGCTGCGGACCTGGAGGGGCAGGGCGGTAGAATGACCTCGCCTGTGGACCCCAAGATCAAACAGGCTTTGCGAAGGAAACCACCCGAGAGGACTCCGGAGGTAAGGGCGCTGCGGCTCCTTCCCCGCGGCGGCTTTTTATTTATTTTTTTAATCTTTGCGTAAACCTGTGTTCCGACAGGCTGTCTGCTCGGTGCGTGGCTCGGGGGGGTTGCGTGCTGGCGCTCCCAAACCTCTGCGCAGAGTTTGCTTATTTAGTTCTGCTTTCCAAAGTTGGACCTCGGGACCAAGCGCCCTTTAACGTCCCGTCCCCGCCGGGCACAGGCGCGAGGCGCTGCGTGAGCTGCTTGGGGTACGCTTAGGAAGAAGGAGGAGGAGAAGGAGAGGTCGATCGCTGGGAAGGAAACTGATGCATATTTCAGCGATGCAAAACTTCTGGGAAAAGTTAGTGAGCTGAAAGACTCTGCTTTACCTGTACAGTGATGCAGATTTAAACAAAATCAAACTAATTACGCTTCGCAGACTTCATACAGAGATGTTTCTCCAGTGAGTGGGAGTGTAGAAATGTGCGAGGCTGGTTAGCTACAATAAACCCATTTTCCAGTTAACTGCCTTCTCTGTCGCTTCCCCACAAGCTAGTCTGTAATCAGCCCTGTATTTTGGGGAATGGTAATGTCGTGGAGCGTTAATTTAATAACGAAAGATGTTTGATAGCATTTGCATGTCACTGAAAGGCTGATTGGAGTTTGTTTGCTTACCCTAGCCTTTTTTTATTTGTTTCTCTTACTGTGATTTTTTTTTCTTTTTTTTTTTTTTAATGTGCTCAAGAATTAGTGGTATGAAGTGATACGCTCTTAAGTTTGTCCCTTTGAGACCGGGAAACATCTGTTTTCCCTTGATACTTCATGGAGAGCAGAATGTCCTGCCTAGTCTGCCTTATAAGTTAATTATCAAAGGCTTCTTGAGGAGAGTTGCTGCAGAGGCTGCTTGGGAGTATGTCGTAGCAGGACAGACACCCCGGTTCCCCTTCGAGTCAGTCTTGTGAGTGAAATGCACGTGTTCGGTCCCAACGTTTGCTTGCCTGGGGATATCTGATAATTCCTCCTTGTGCCTCTGCTCCCTAAATTCATGATGAGGCGGTCTCTCTGTTCTTTCAGTCGTCTTATTTTTATCACTCCCCTCTTGCTTCAGACCTTTCTTTCTTTTCAGCTGTAGTCTTCAGTTAGGAAAATTCCTTTGCTAGTGTGGTTTGCAGTGTGGGCAGCTGGGTTCATCACAGAAGTGTCATTCATGAGCCAGCATACCCTGCTGGCTCGTCATGGGCTGGGCTTTGGGGAACAGGTAATCTGGCCTGGCTCGAAACATCTGCCCGCTGCTGCTGCTGCTTGCAATGCCCATGTCTCACGGCTGTGTAGGGCTGCTTCTTGCTGTTTGCTTTTTTTTTTTTTTTTTTTTTTTTCTCTCCTCCATCCCCAATTTTCCCCCCAGCAATTGTCAGAGAATTCTTTAGGATTGTTGCCTTATTTTGGCTAAAACTGCCTTAAAATAAATAATTTGCTTCACCTCGTAAGGTTAAATAGTCAGGTACCACAATGTCCAGCTGCACTGGACCACGCTTATGAGTTCATGTGGATCTGTGTAGAGTCCCCTTGGGACTGACATCAGGGTTGTGTGCAGGTCTGAATTTGCCAAGGTGTCTCAGTTGTGGGGAAGAAAACCCCCAACCTAATCTTTGTTAATCTAACTAATAGTACCTCTAAAATTATTTAAAAAAAAAAATAAATCTTTAATCCCTTGTTAATCTGGCCCTTTTTTGGCAGGCATTTAGAGGCGCTGCACAGTGGGACTGCTTGTGATTAAAGTTAAACGCGTACTTTAAGCTTGGCAGGTGGGGGGGCCTCTGTTCTTGTTGCCTGTTGCCGAGTGGATAATTACAGTCAAATCACTTTTGTTTTCTTGGGGTACTTTTGTTTATATACATTTAGAAACTAAGCTGATTTCAAGAAAAGCACTTCCCTAGTACAAGAGCGTGGTGTATCTGGGGTTCCCCTTTCTGGATCTGTACTACCTGTCCAGACACAAGGCAAAACATCGAACCGCCCCAGCGCGGCCGCAGTCTGCCAGGTTTCCCAAGCATATGCTCCGAGATGTGATGACAGATGGATATAGGGTGATAAGGGAACTGGAGGGAACAATTGCAATGTAATTTTTTTTTTTTTTTTTTTTTAAATCGTGCTAAGCATCCTGACTTGCCAACTTTCTTCTATAGGCAGCAAGACTTAGGTCAGGGAAGTTGAAATCCGCTTAGCGCAGCCATGAGGATCAGACCCCAGTTTCGGGTGTCCCGGCACAGGGTGTATGAGCTGGTGACTCCTCTCTTGAAGTATCCAGTTGTTCATGGACAAAAACTGTGGCTTCATTTCTCCCCTCCTACTCTCGTAGAAAGGTATCATCAGCTCCTCCCACATGGAGTCGGCTGCGTGGGGCTGCTTGTGCCCTTTGACTGTGTTTTTATACAGGAAAACCCTCAAAATTCCCCAAACTGTGACTGGTGTTTGATGATGAGCCAAAGCTGCTTGACCACATGAGTTCCAATGGCTTTCAGCATCTTTC